CGAAATGCATTATCAACGAGAGTATTGTCTGGTGTTGCTACTCTTATCCAGTCACGAATTTGCTGGAACAAACTGGATAAGCTGGCGGAATTAGGACTCGACACAATGGTACAGACCAATCTGGTCAGAACAAGCGACGGCAATTGAAATGGATAGCAGACTAGTCCATTTCGCTACGGTTTTCTACAAGCAGGAGAGCCCATTGTGCTAACTACAGCAATTTGGCAGTTTACTGAGAGATGTTTTTTTCCATTTTCCACTGCTTTGATGCTATGCTCAGTGCAAACGCAGATGGCCTTCCAGGAGGAATTGCAACAATTGAGACAGCAAAACATTTCCAACGCACCTGCCCCTACACCCACTCCCATGTGCAGCTGCACAGTAGAGGTCCCGGCCATTGAACGTTTGCGTCGCCGCTTGGAAATAGTCGAGTCCAGCACAGATCGGAACCGGCTTCAACTGGACCGAAAGTCTGAAAGCACTAGCGTTGAGGCGATGATGACGGATATCAGGGGCCTGAAGTCTGGGTTAGAGGCCAGCACGGTGAGATCTCAGCATCCACACACACACTCACATAATTGTACATATACAGTCAACTTCGCTAATAATGACTGCGGATATAACGACAATTCGCGAATAACGACAGAAATTCCATGCCCAGAGCAAAGTCCCATCCCACTGTAATACAATATATTGAGACTTCGGGTATAAGGACACTTCGCGAATAAGGACACTTTTCTGATGCCCCGCCGAGTGTCGTTATAAGCCAAGTTGACTGTACCAACCATACACACCTGTACCATGTACCATGTATACGCCCGTCGCATATTCACATACACACATATACATGTACGCACATATACATGTACGCACCATACTCACAACTTCCCCACATGTTTCGAAAGACATCAGGGTATCCAATAGGCTTGAGTTTACCATGACAACATGTACAGTTTTAATGTGGCCAACATAAGAATGAAGTTGTCCAAGCATTCGCGGACTCCATTGCAGCCACTTAAACATTCTAATATTAGGGTACTTCAACCCGAACGTTCAAAACATGGTTGACTGTAGTCACCCTTTGATGGTTTCAATGTTTTTAAGGGATATGCACCAAAGAGGACCGTATTTTGAACGATCGGGTTGAGGTACCCTAATTTAATTCAAGGATGAACGAAAGTTAACCCTTTACAGGTCTACCATAAGCGTACGTTTGGCCCTCATTTTTTTGGGGTCTTGTTGCTAGGAAACAGCTAAAATGGCGCTCTACGCGTAGCTCAGGTCCAAGGCTTTCTGACGATGTGCAAAACAACCATGCTTACCATGCAAATTTTTGCCGTATCGATCGCCTGAAGTTTGTTGAAATTGGAAAAGACGACCATCCGCCATGCGCGCATTTCAAGAATGCGAGTGCATCTCTTGGGGCCGTGTTTGACAAGCGTTCTCAGAGCAGTAACATCACCAGTTGAGGCTGGATCTCCCGGGAGGTTTTGCAGTGTAGTGTGTTGAGAAAAAGAGCTCCGTTGAGTCCTGCTAGTTCAAAAATATATCGTCCACGAATGAAGAAACAAAATTCTCCAAACAGAGAGGAAGCCTTCTTGCTGCCGACACGGCGACAGCGACTGTCACAAGAACTCGTCAGGTGCGATCAGCTGATTTGCCTGGCCGTGAGAATCACGGCATGCGTAAGCTCGCGCCTGAGTACTCATCTGAGCGAGAGTGAATCTGACGCGAGCAGCGCTGAGATGAACAAACCGAAACTGCGATATCGTGGAATGGGAATTGCTGCTGCTGGTGTATCGCCGATGGCGAGGTGTTGGTGTTCAGTGGCGGTATTGTAGAGAGCCTACATTTCTTGTAAAGACGTAGCCCTTACCTGATTGTTTATCGTACGACTTCAGCTCCATCACGAACTTGGTATACCCTTCGTGCTGTGATATTCGTGTATTTCATTCGCAATTGTATTTTCTCTCAGCTTGAAGGGCTACCATGGGCCCTATCCTTGCCTGGACCTAGTCATATTTGAATTTTCTGGAAGCGTTCAGGCAAACAGGTTTTGAAAATATATGGTTTACCCATACCTACATCACATGGTTCTTGAGTTATTGCTGGTTGTGTGTACATGTATTTGCGTGACCACCCCTCACATACATTGAGTTAGACCGGCAAAGGGTTAAACCTCATGGATAACAACCTCCTGTACCAACCAACGTTCAAATATCGTGGTCCTTTGACTGCCTACATTCATCTTGACGGATAACTCATGATTGCCAGCACTCTGCTTATGCACTTCAGAGGGTTGATATTTGCAAGGTTCACTGTATACGATTGACAGAGGACTATTAAATCGGACTCGTACGCACAAACAGGCACTGAGATCCCCCCCCCCCCCATCAACAGTGCTTCACCCTCTACAACTCACTCCCTACCGACATCGAAACCCAACGCCGTAGAGATGGTTTCCGACACAATGCATCCAGTCTTCTTTTGAGCAGTACCTGCTTCCGCTCCGCACGCGCTCCTTGATTCCGAAATCTTGACCGTGTTCTGAAGTACTCGAAGTATCTTGATCATCCCGGCTATTTCTGCCTATGGTTATCATCATCCATTGTTCATTGCCTTCCCAGGTTAATTTCAAACTCACTGTTTCTGGCTCGTATCAGTTCTATTACACTTATCAATCCTCTTCTATGGCGTCTCTCCACCAAGGAATAAACGAATAATACTAGTAATGACATTGAGACAATTATGCACCTCTGTTACCTGTGTTTGTTGCAGGTGGCATTGAGCAATCTGGAAAGTACAGTTTCCACCCATGAAGAGTTGATCACGCGCAATGCTGACAGGCTTGCAGAACGCATGGCCATCCTGGAGGGAACAGCGCGACGTAATGCACAAAATATAGGCCAGCGTGCTTCTGCAGCCTCGGTCGTAGCTCTTGGGCAACGGATGGTAACAGTGGAGCGTCGTAGCAGTGGAAATAATGCTGTGGTTAGTCAGCGAGGACTACCAGAGTTAGGGCTTGTACAGGCGGGTATGAGTTACAACCGAGGTGTCATTGGCGAATTACAGGTAAGGAAGTGAAGAGCCATGTTAGGGCTAGAACAGCCAGTCAAAATGTCCTTAAATAGAAAAGAAAAAAACCGGCCACCGCAGTACAAAACATTGTAGTCTCACTGCTGGCTTAATTAAGCGGAAGTGCTGGTCTTGGAGTCGGGCAGGTCACTGCATGTGTTCCGTCATACCATAGTCAATCTGGAACAACTGTGATGTTGGTATTGAATGGCCTTGAGCATGGTTGCATTTTAGAATAGAAATATATGAACAGTATGAAAGAGTTCGGAGGCTTCATTTTTGCATAAAAATGTAGATTTGGCATTTATCTTCCCATGTTTGTATTCCATGATACCTCGGACATGGCTCCCAGATCGCTGCCCAGGCTGTTTGGTGCCAATGGTGGACATACAAGTGTTTGGTATTTGTCACTGTGTACATTGCGCTGTGCATGGCAGTTGTTTCATTGCAAATGAAAGGAAGGATTTAGTGAGCACTCTTCCGAGGGTATTGACATATTGTGTGAATACTCCACGCATGACCTATCTTATAGCGTATTGCTGTTGCCTATGTCTGATCCAGGTGGCATTGAACAATCTCGAACGCAAGGTCAACACCCATGAAGGCTTGATCCCGCGCAATGCAGACAGCCAATCCGTCAAAAGCATTAAGGACCGTTTGGTTATCGTGGAAGGACTAGCCAGGCACAACAGGCAGTATTTGAACCAGCGTGCTCTCAAAGCCGACGTCGTCGCACTCGAGGAAAGGGTGGGGAATGTGGAGGATCGCATCACCGCAAATGATGTCATGCTTCAGCAGCGTGCTCAAGTGACTGAGTTGCGGGCTGTGAAATCGGACTTAGGTCGAGTGCAGGTGGGCATGAACCACAACCGAGGTGTTATTGATCGCAAGCTACAGGTGAGCCAGTGAGCAGCAATTGATAAGGCGCGATTTCCTTAGCATTCAAGCGAGAGACAAGACCCATGAGCAAGCTAGTCTTGAAAAGGACTAATGGTGTTTGTACATACATACACACTTATCTGTTGGTGCCGGTAGTTGTGGTGTGAGTGTAGGGTTGGAAGTGAACTTTGTAAGATATAGGAAAGATGTAAGCGAACGTTGTAAGATATGTTGAGTCCGAAGAAGGGAGGTTTCTCACTCACTAACACAACTGGCAACGGGAACAGGTAGGTTGGTGGAACGACATTTTTTAGAGACGGGATGACTAACACCAGGACGAACGAAACGACTACATGATGATTATTGAAGAGAGCGAGTTGAAGAGAGAAGCAACTCAATATAAAGGGCCTGGGTAGCTATGGCAAACATGGGTGCGCAAGTACCTACCCAGGCCAACGGAACGAAAGGTGAGTATGACGTAGTATGGGTGCATGCAGGCTGGCCAGCTTAGGAAAGGTTGTAGGTAAGATTGTACGGGAGGAGGCACCAAACATACCTCCCCTGAGCAAAAAAAGAACCGCGACCTCGCGGAAAATAATAAGACGAAGAGAAAAATAGAGACAAAAATGACTGAGGAAAAAAACACACACACACTGCACGCCTGCACGGATCTCACAAAAGTGTTTACTAGTATCATGCATTACGGTTATTGTTCCTGTACAGTCAACTTCGCTAATAACGACTGCGGATATAACGACAATTCGCGAATAGCGACAGAATGTCCATGCCCAGAGCAAAGTTCCATCCAACTGTAATACATATAATGAGACTTCGGGTATAACGACACTTCGCGAATAAGGACACTTTTTTGATGGCCCGCCGAATGTCGTTATAAGCGAAGTTGACTGTACTTCTCTAAGTCTAAAGAAAAAGAAACTAGACGTGACGAGGAACCTACTGATACTGCTTGCATGGCTAAAAATAGCGTAGTTGCACTTCTGCTAAACACCAAAAATTAGAGCGTGGCTCACCATGATCGGACCTCTCATTTACTAATATTATTTTTATGAACACAAGCGCGCACACACACTACAAAAAAATTCACGAAATAAATAAACCGAACCGAAATTAAATTTGACGAAGAAGGACGGATGAAAAAGAAGGAGAGAAATAAAGAAAGTAGCTGACCTGCATGACTTGGACGAGACGAGGTTGACATAGAAGAGACGAGGTTGGAGATGAGACGAGGTTGGCGACAAGACGAGACTGACTACAAGACGAATGCCGGGCGGTAGAGGACGAGGGCCGTCGGTTCCGAGCAATGGTCGACATGGACGACATTGCGCGACGACACCGCGTGACGACACAGCTCCACGACGAACACGGACTGGGGTGACGAATAAACGAGGACAGTCCAGCAGTGACGGGAGCAACACTACACGTAAATTACATCTCAGGGTCGTGAGCTGCGGAGGCAGAACTCCGCGTCGAGTAAAGTTGGGCGCCAATGTTGAGTCCGAAGAAGGGAGGTTTCTTACCCACTAACACAACTGACAACGGGAACAGGTAGGTTGGTGGAACGACATTTATTAGAGACGGGATGACTAAGACCAGGACGAACAAAACGACTACATGGTGATTATTGAAGAGAGCGAGTTGAAGAGAGAAGAAACTCAATATAAAGGGCCTGGGTAGCTATGGCAAACATGGGCGCGCAAGTAGCTAACCAGGCCAACGGAACAAAAGGTGAATATGACGTAGTACGGGTGCATGCAGGCAGGCCAGCTTAGGAAAGGTTGTAGGTAAGATTGTACGGGAGGAGGCACCTAACAGATAATAAGAAAGATGTAAGTGAACATTGCAAAGTGCAAGAAGGATGTAACAAGAACAGGGTGAATCTGCTACACGAGCTGTAATTCCGGTTGTAAGTCGACCTTTTACGACTAAAAATTGAAGGAGAAAGGGTGGGGGTCGACTTACAGCCGCATACAAACATATTCTTCCAAGTTGCTTTACGTTATGATCTTGCAGTTGAAAGCCCTATTTGAATGATGGCGCGGTACAGGGCATGTAGGAGATAGCGCCAGGCATGCACAACGACACACAAATAAAACGGATACCGAAGTTTGGACCCTGGCTAGCGCCAAACGTTACTCAAACAACGACTTTTACATAGCTATGTGAATTTTAAAACGCATTTTCTCAAGTGCACAGCTGACTGCAATAGGTCCCTTTTCGCAACTGGCGAAACCAAACTTGACTGGCGTCCCAATTGCACTTCTATAATACCTATAGCTGCAGTGGCCAACCTAAGTAGGGGTCAAATGGGTGTACCTTTAACTAACGAACGGGTAATTTTCTTAACTGGCGAGTTAAGGGGTACCCTTTAGCAGAAATGTTTAATTTTTTGCGCAATTTTCACATGAATCAAGATTTTAATTCATCTGTTCTCGGGTTGCATTTTGATATCACATAGTGATTCGCAAATCGATTGGTGTCTGATAGTCGCAGGAGTAGATCTACTAGGTGCGAAAATGCAACAACAATGCAGACATCCAGCGTGGAGTTGTAAATAATTGACTCCCGCCTGGAATACACGATCCCAGCAGTGTTGCTCCGTACTGACTGCTTCATCAATATCCAAACGGGTACCCTTTAACTAACGGTACCGGAGATTAACGGTCGGGTACCCGGGTACCCGGTACACCCCTTTGACCCCTAAACCTAAGGGCCCAGTTATTATCAGTGTTAGTCCAGGACTGCATCACAACATAGGCACTAGCCTGCGGCAGTACACTGATCCCAGCCACCACAGTTCTGTGTTGTGTGTAGTTGCATCGGTTACGAGCCTAACAATGCTAGGCCTACTCTTGTGTCCTGTTTCAGTACTTCACTGATGGATGCAACCACCGCACACTCGGTTACGCCTACCGTAGCCAACACGATCAACATAGCGTGAGGAATTCAGGTCAGATAACAACTATGCCTTTCCGTAAGCAGCACCCAGAGACAGTGCTGCGACTTCTCTATTCGTGTAATATTCGCACACGGGGAGCTGACTCTGCATCGCGATGGTACTTCAAGATTGATGGTCGAGAGTGCACGTCGCCCAACGTGATAGACATGACAATGTACCAGTCGTCTGCGGACAACACACACGTTCCAGCAGTCCTTCAAGGAATATGCACGGCCACATCATCAGGCGAAATCGGTGCTGGATCTCATATGATCTCAGTGCACATTGGTAAGGTACCCCTGGAGTTGCTCGCAGACGGTAATACAAACTGGGCCAGCACCTCCTTTCTTGAGGTGCAAGAGATGTGCCCGCCATTCGGGCAATAGTATTTGTATGTTTGTCTGGTTGGTTTTGCTGCACAAGCATTCTGATAATCCATCCTGCTAACAACTCATCATTATCTACATGTAGTTCTTCGGCCAATTCTCTATCACATCCATCACCCTTCCTCCATTCCCCACCCCATCGCCACACAGTCCCCATCCCAACTTCTGCCCCCACTCCATCCCCACCATTTTCCCATCACATCCCAACCGAGAGTTGGCTGTTGTGGAGGGGCATATGTGAGGTGTTTTTTGTCTTATTTTACTCCGATAATGAGCCAGTGATAGATGTAAAAAGAAGAGAAGAAAACACATGATAACGAGTTATGCAGCAACTATCGACAACTGTAACAAGATGATAAACAGTCAGAAAGTGCGATAATAGGGCAAAAAACTGACAAGCTACTGAGAAATTCAGAAGGGAATGTGAGCGTCTTCGGTCCTACGTAACCATGCATGAACATTCTAAGTTGGAAGGCTGCTGGTTTGCGCACTGGAGATGTGTTAGAGCTAGGTCTCCGGTAGCGGAATGTCTCAGTAGCCTGTCAGTGTTGTTCCCTATTATTGCACTTTCTGACTGTTTATCATCTTGTTACAGTCGTGGATAGTTGCTGCTTAACTCGTAATCATTTGTTTCTTCTCTTTCTTATGTTTTAAATTGTATTTTAATCTGTGTCCTTTTCTGGTTTTCTGGTTTTGAATTTGTATTGCATGTTTATCCATTGTTTTTCTTTTGCCCGTACAAGAGGCTTGTGTTACTATCACATCCCAACCATCCTCACCCTACCCCCCCCCTTCCATCGGACCAGGCGCATGGGTTCCTGGGTGCCCGAACCCCTTTTTTGCTGAAAATGCGGGATTTTTGCTTCATTTTTGAGATTTTTCCCGCGGCAGGCCCTCCCGGAACCCTCTCCCCTTGAAGGGCACCGGCGCACGCGCCTGCATCCCAAACCACATCCCCATACCATCCCTCACTCCACATGTGATTTTCTTGTTCATTTCATTGACGGCGACTTGCATGGGAAAGTCACCCAAGTACTGTCTCATACACATGGCACAATTTTCTCTTTTTAAATCCCGACAAATTGTGCGTATGCTGCACTAGTGTACACTTACAACATAGATGTTTTTCCTATAATACATGACATTGTATCATTCTAGCTTATTTCCCTGGAAAGATGCTGTGCTTCTGCCATTTAGGGAATGGGATTGCGGTGCTTGACCTCTGGGTTTTTTGTCAGGACCAACAGTGCGAAAGGCAAAGAAAGGACAACTAACCTGAAGAACAACTGCGATCACCATACACCTTGTGAATTCAAATTCAGTACGCCCTTCCCCCACTGCAAGTGTGATAGACGGTTCATCCGAACTCACACTGGGGTGGCCATAGCGATTACGCGAACCACACAAACACAATATGCATGATAGTAACTATGGAAATGAATGCCTGCAAACTTACTTGAGACATGCGACTGGATATCATTGACCACAATTGTTCAATCATGTACATGCATGCATGCACATACATACAGCATTGGGTATGCATGCATGCACATACATACAGCATTGGGTATGCATGCATGCACATACAGCATTGGGTACATGCATGCATGCACATACAGCATTGGGTATTTGCATACTCTACTTGAAACTCAGTGTAGCAGGGAACCATTGGCGTTAAGTACTTGAAAGTAGTTCAGGTTTGGGCTCTTTTCAGCCAAGGCCTTTGCAGACGAAATATCCAAAAGCAGCTCTTGTCAGAAGCAGTTCCAAAGATGGAAAATCCTCGTGCATCCCCAATCCCCATTTCCCATCCATCAACAAAAGGACTTTAGTATTATAATAATTATTATTACTATCGGGAGAACGTCTGCCGTGCACAAGCACGCGGCCACGCGATTGGTAGACTACGAACCAGGGCTAGGGAGTAGTAAAATTCTACTCCCTGGTCCGAGCATGGAAACCAGGGAGTAGCATATTATAATGGTATTGTACTACTCCCTGATGGAAACTAGCGCGGATCCGCGGAGCAGGGAACCATCTACATGACTTCGTACATGTACCTTAGTTGCTGTCCACAGATTTGAGTACAATCATGTACATTAGTCCTTACGCATAGAACCTTCTGCAGACAAAGTGTAAATAGCGGTGTCGTTAGCTCTTACATAATTGTGACCCCTCCTTGCTACTCAACAGTATACTGGCGTATCTAGCTATCGAATTCACACCTTCTCACCTGGCTACAAGCGCTAGCAGTTCATCTGACCAGCTTACTCTGTTTTGTTATTGTATCACGGCACTTTGCACTCTGCTCTTCTCTGCTCTCTTCCTTAGCCCTAAATCTTCGTACTTTGGGCGCGCAATATGTTTCTCCTTTCGGTACAAAACCGGGGTGCTTTTCCCCACCTACATGTATTAGCCATTCAACAAAATCAACCTTCTGAACTTCACTGAAGAGAGTTCTAAACCCGGCGGTAATCGCCGAGACACCTGTATGAAGGGATTGAGTGCAAAATGGATGTGTCGCTTTCTTGAAAGTCTTCTGTGGGAACTACTTGTCAAGGTTGGCTGGTGAGCGCCGTTGTGGAATCATGGTGGTTGATGGAGAAAGCAAATACTCAGTTTCTTGAATCTATCAATCGTCAGGCAAAGTAACAAACTGAGGCAGGGCTGTAGTGTGTTAGTTCACTACAAGACTGAAACACTCAGCCACAGAACAGGGCACAGAAAAAGGAAATCGCCATGATTGTGTGAAGGTGAGAGTGTACTGTACATGTTCTTCGCAGTACATTTGCATGGATGTCGTCCCATTCTGTCCGATTATCCTCCACCCAGGCCGTCACAACAAGCTCTTTCCCGTGCCAAGGCCTCCAGGATATCGACATCATCTTTCACTCCAGACTCCAGTGACCATATATGGTAATGTCTTTGCACCTAGCAACACACTGGTAACCGGATGTGTATTAGGAGTGTTTGTATAAATAGTGTGAACTTGGTGTCAGTACAGTATTATGATGTCCATTGTGCATTGGGTTTAGAATGGCCAAGAAGTTTAGTCATCACTGACACTGAAGTATCGAAACGATAGTATAAAAGCTTTCTGCACCAGTGGTTACTGTTAGTCGCCTATGGTAAGCGCATCAGGGCCGGCCTGTGAATTGAGATTCCCTGAATGTCGGTGGAGCGGGGATTCGTACAACTGAGCCCAATCAAAAATGGAAACAGTGACTGGAGGCACAGTATTGTACGACTCACTGCGTGCGACTTTAATCGCGTATGCCATTGGCCCGACCTTTTTGCCAATTTCCCACATTTTCCCTTGCCACTGTAGATGTTTCGTTATACATGTAGAGCGCGCTAGCGGCCAACTGCACAAGTTACTTTAAAAGTACTTGAAAGTAGTTCAGGTTTGGGCTCTTTTCAGCCAAGGCCTTTGGAGACGAAATATCCAAAAGCAGCTCTTGTCAGAAGCAGTTCCAAAGATGGAAATTCCTCGTGCATCCCCAATCCCGATTTCCCATCCATCAACTAAAGGACTTTAGTATTATAATAATTATTATTACTATCGGGAGAACGTCTGCCGTGCACAAGCACGCGGCCACGCGATTGGTAGACTACGAACCAGGGCTAGGGAGTAGTAAAATTCTACTCCCGGGTCCGAGCATGGATACCAGGGAGTAGCATATTCTAATGGTATTGTACTACTCCCTGATGGAAACTAGCGAGGATCCACGGAGCAGGGAACCATCTACATGACTTCGTATATGTACCTTAGTTGCTGTCCACAGATTTGAGTACAATCATGTACCTTAGTCCTTACGCATAGAACCTTCTGCAGACAAAGTGTAAATAGCGGTGTCGTTAGCTCTTACATAATTGTGACCCCTCCTTGCTACTCAACAGTATACTGGCGTATCTAGCTATCGAATTCACACCTTCTCACCTGGCTACTAGCACTAGCACATCATCTGACCAGCTTACTCTGTTTTGTTATTGTATCACGGCACTTTGCACTCTGCTCTTTTCTGCTCTCTTCCTTAGCCCTAAATCTTCGTCCTTTGGGCGCGCAATATGTTTCTCCTTTCGGTACAAAACCGGGGTGCTTTTCCCCACCTACATGTATTAGCCATTCAAGAAAATCAACCTTCTGAACTTCACTGAAGAGAGTTCTATACCCGGCGGTAGTCGCCGAAACACCTGTATGAAGGGACTGAGTACAAAATGGATGTGTCGTTTTCTTGAAAGTCTTCTGTGGCAACTACTTGTCAAGGTTGGCTGGTGAGCGCCGTTGTGGAATCATGGTGGTTGATGGAGAAAGCAAATACTCAGTTTCTTGAATCTATCAATCGTCAGGCAAAGTAACAAACTGAGGCAGGGCTGTAGTGTGTTAGTTCACTACAAGACTGACAAACTCAGCCACAGAACAGGGCACAGAAAAAGGAAATCGCCATGATTGTGTGAAGGTGAGAGTGTACTGTACATGTTCTTCGCAGTACATTTGCATGGATGTCGTCCCATTCTGTCCGATTATCCTCCACCCAGGCCGTCACAACAAGCTCTTTCCCGTGCCAAGGCCTCCAGGATATCGACATCATCTTTCACTCCAGACTCCAGTGACCATATATGGTAATGTCTTTGCACCTAGCAACACACTGGTAACCGGATGTGTATTAGCAGTGTTTGTATAAATAGTGTGAACTTGGTGTCAGTACAGTATTATGATGTCCATTGTGCATTGAGTTTAGAATGGCCAAGAATTTTAGTCATCACTGACACTGAAGTATCGAAACGTTAGTATAAAAGCTTTCTGCACCAGTAGTTACTGTTAGTCGCCTATGGTAAGCGCATCAGGGCCGGCCTGTGAATTGAGATTCCCTGAATGTCGGTGGAGCGGGGATTCGTACAACTGAGCCCAATCAAAAATGGAAACAGTGACTGGAGGCACAGTATTGTACGACTCACTGCGTGCGACTTTAATCGCGTATGCCATTGGCCCGACCTTTTTGTCAATTTCCCACATTTTCCCTTGCCACTGTAGATGTTTCGTTATACATGTAGAGCGCGCTAGCGGCCAACTGCACAAGTGACTTTAAAAGTACTTGAAAGTAGTTCAGGTTTGGGCTCTTTTCAGCCAAGGCCTTTGGAGACGAAATATCCAAAAGCAGCTCTTGTCAGAAGCAGTTCCAAAGATGGAAATTCCTCGTGCATCCCCAATCCCCATTTCCCATCCATCAACTAAAGGACTTTAGTATTATAATAATTATTATTACTATCGGGAGAACGTCTGCCGTGCACAAGCACGCGGCCACGCGATTGGTAGACTACGAACCAGGGCTAGGGAGTAGTAAAATTCTACTCCCTGGTCCGAGCATGGATACCAGGGAGTAGCATATTATAATGGTATTGTACTACTCCCTGATGGAAACTAGCGCGGATCCGCGGAGCAGGGAACCATCTACATGACTTCGTATATGTACCTTAGTTGCTGTCCACAGATTTGAGTACAATCATGTACCTTAGTCCTTACGCATAGAACCTTCTGCAGACAAAGTGTAAATAGCGGTGTCGTTAGCTCTTACATAATTGTGACCCATCCTTGCTACTCAACAGTATACTGGCGTATCTAGCTATCGAATTCACACCTTCTCACCTGGCTACTAGCACTAGCACTTCATCTGACCAGCTTACTCTGTTTTGTTATTGTATCACGGCACTTTGCACTCTGCTCTTTTCTGCTCTCTTCCTTAACCCTAAATCTTCGTCC